TCAACAGTTCTGGAACTAAACTAGTTTTTTTCTTATATCTAGTCTTCATGATTAATTAATCATAAATCATACTACAGGTAAAAGACACATAAAGTACATCAAGCAAAAATGAATACCAATGACATGCACATATTACCGATGATGATACTGCTTAAATGATACATGCTAAGGAGTTGGAACATGTTGGTGGGCTTTGTGACTGCCATTTACAGACCGCGTAAAGGTAATTAAGTTTGGGATCATGGTTCGTGTTTAGTTTCCTGAGATAACACTCCTGTGCTAACCCCCTGGTAGATATATTACTTAGTACAGATGTACCTTTCTGTCGGACATGTTTTTCCTGAGAAAACTACCGGGCATAATTATATTCAGTTATGATACGTTTCTGCCGGCCCATATCGGCCATTGTAGGATCAATTCACTCGTTTTGATAAATCTTCTTTTTCAAAACACATGCACTTTTATCAAAGTATACACAAGACACAGAGTATCATATATCATAGTAATTATATTTATTGTGATTATTTAACATTAGAATACAAATTAACGGCAGTTTATATCATAATTTGCATATATACAGTATTACAAAATTGCCGTCATTTCGAAGGTTCATCGATAATGGAATGACAAATTACAATATAATGATACATACTTATCTCGATGTGTGTACGTCAGAAACATTATATATGTGTGTATGACGTTGTCAGAAACATTATATATGTGTGTATCACGGCTACTGAATGGTTGAAATATCTCCGTCCGTTAACAAGCCATGTATTAAATGTCAGTTTGATAATGCCCTTATATATCTGTACTTAATAACCCCTCGTGTCGAATCACATAAATATATGCATACAACATCTACAAAGCTCTAGGCTTTGACACATTCTTATACAAAATATACAGACTTAATAACTTAGTGTACAGTATAGGCGAGGGGGCGAGTGTACGTGATGGGGAGGGTAGTCCGGCTAAATGCGTCCCCTAATTAGTTGACGTTGAAAATAACGATATCACTTGCTGCACTCCGTAATTAACTTTTCATGCCCCGCAATAAAAAAAAGGGGGGGGGCATATAGTGTTGCACATGTGCGTCCCGTCGCGCCCCGTCCTGTCGCGTCGCGTCCCGTCCCATCCATGAGCGGGGGCATTTATGTCTTACAGACATTTTCTAGTTTACCTTCGTTTTACCTCTACTGCCTTGCCTAATGCTCATCAATTATCTACTAGTGAGACTCTAATATGTTGTGTTAATGCCGTTAAGACTTCGCAGAAATAAATACTAAAGTGAGGTTCATCAACTTGCAATGTGATGATATGAACGTAGTCGCAATGACACCTTAACAATGCATGTCAATTATCATTGTATCGAGATTAAAAATATATATAATATTATGCAAAAAGACTAGGCAAGATATTTCTATAAATATGATATTATAATTTATATAAAAAGCCACCGAGAATACATCAGCGGTAACTCAATGAATGTGTAGACGAAGCGACTAATGTGAGAACCCTCTGCATAATTGGGGGTTTGCTTTTGTGCGACCAAAATAAATCTCCCGCACTCATTGCAATATTTGGTATCTTTATATTTCTGTGTTTTCCAGTAACCCTTTATTCCACTTTTTGGTTTTATTGTTGAGAGTTCGACCAGGTGAGGAAGGCCATACCAATGTCCGTACAAATTGATTTTATTGTTGAGAGTTCGACCAGGTGAGGAAGGCCATGCCAATTTCCGTACAAATTGATTTTATTGTTGAGAGTTCGACCAAGTGAGGCAGGCCATACCAATGTCCTTACAAATTGCTTTTATTGTTGAGAGTTCGACCAGGTGAGGAAGGCCATACCAATGTCCGTCCAAATTGATTTTATTGTTGAGAGTTCGACCAGGTGAGGAAGGCCATGCCAATTTCCGTACAAATTGATTTTATTGTTGAGAGTTCGACCAGGTGAGGGAGGCCATACCAATGTCCTTACAAATTGATTTTATTGTTGAGAGTTAGACCAGGTGAGGAAGGCCATACCAATGTCCGTCCAAATTGATTTTATTGTTGAGAGTTCGACCAGGTGAGGGAGGCCATACCAATGTCCTTACAAATTGATGTTCTTGTTGAGAGTTCGACCAGGTGAGGCAGGCCATACCAATGTCATTACAAATTGATTTTATTGTTGAGAGTTCGACCAGGTGAGGAAGGCCATGCCAATGTCCGTACAAATTGATTTTATTGTTGAGAGTTCGACCAAGTGAGGCAGGCCATACCAATGTCCTTACAAATTGCTTTTATTGTTGAGAGTTCGACCAGGTGAGGCAGGCCATACCAATGTCCTTACAAATTGCTTTTATTGTTGAGAGTTCGACCAGGTGAGGAAGGCCATACCAATGTCCTTACAAATTGATTTTATTGTTGAGAGTTCGACCAGGTGTGGCAGGCCATACCAATGTCCTTACAAATTGCTTTTATTGTTGAGAGTTCGACCAGGTGAGGCAGGCCATACCAATGTCCTTACAAATTGATATTATTGTTATTCAATGGCAAAAGCCAGTAAAATGAAACCTTAAAAACATAGCAAGTGTGTGTGTCGTTGTACATGTGCTCTATCAAGGGCGGGTCCGGATCAACTGTAAGAGCTGGAGGAGGGGTGTACAATTTTCCGATAAATTCTCCCTGCACATAACACACCAGGCTGATAGGAAGGGTTAACGTTGAAAACCTTTGACAATGAAGGGGCGGTCGTCATGTCTGTTATATCCGCCAGTGTGATATTGGTAATAGGATTAAGGACAGTTTGCTTCATTTAAATGTACGTCTGCAGTTGCATCCTTCAATACTTTAAAATAAATGTTACTTTTCATATTAAGTTTTATTATGCCATTTCGGTACACAATGTAGGATCAGAATCACCACAATCAGTATTAGGACTTGCAGTAAAAATGTTAATGATATAACACAAACAACACCTGCCTTCATTTGACCCTGGCTTTGCGAGGACGTTAAACCCGCGATAAAACAAAACAATAAAACAGCACTTACACCTGTATAGACCATGTTGATGGCTCTTACATTGCCCCCTCATTTGAAATAGTATATATGTATATATAGACTTTGATAAACTAACGATACAGACGGATGAGCATACAAAGGTCAAAGGTCAGAAACGTCATGGATTTTCTACAATACCGAGTAACACTGATAAATATCCACACCCTGAACATTTTTATCATTACTCATCCCAGGTGGGATCATGAATACCTTTGCTGGTAATATATGCATAAGTTCCAGTCAATATCGAACAAGATTTACCTGAAAACCCCGCGGAAATCTTTGTATCCGTAATGTAAGGCGTCATGTGGGTAAAGTGGCATCACTCGTCAGTATAAATGTTAAAGAGGTCATTTGATATCCGTACACAATACTTATTTCAATATATAATTATAGTTTATATGTAACAGTCCAACACTAGACGCCAGAGTTAAATATAATACCGGAAATATAGTCAGGATGCTATATAATTCAAAGAGGGGATCCCGCAGCTTTTAAACTGCCCTCATAAAATCCTCTTTCATATAAAACGGCGAGATATTGCGTTCTTATTGAGACATTTACAACACAACAATTAAACTGAAGCATGTCCTAAAAAACTTCGTCTTGCAATATTTGAGGCTGGAACGAAATAGCTCGCGGATTTCCACAGTTTATACAGGTACAATATAATCTAATGAAAAATTGTGTTTAAACAATTATCCTCTATTCATGAATACCAAAACATCAGCCGGAGAGTAATACTTTCATGTTTGATTCTAAGGAGATGTTTTATTCTCTTTGTGACGACTTCAGTAAAATGAAGTAAGATTTGTATATTTCGTTCAGAATCTTACAACAAAGGGGGAAAACAAATGATTAGAAGCGGGATTGGCTATCTAATCCCTCCAAACAAATAATTCCCAGTTGCTACAAATATACCACCTATGTATGGAAAGGTTTATCTGCTTCTAGATCTGTGTTCGTGTTCCGAACACCCAGCGAGTCAATTGGGAGTGAAAACATGTTAAACACATTTACCTAGACACTCGGTATGTAGTTTTAAATTAAAATTGTCATGGATAAATTCTTAATTGCTAATTGATTTACAGTCGGCAAAAATGAGTTCAAACGAAGATGAGCAGACTTATAGTCATATTTACATAACAGATTTTAACTAGACTGGCTCTCAATCTCAATGCTTATTAATTATTTTCCTGTCATATACATTAACACGTTTTGTAAAAGAACAGCAGACCTGTTGTATCCCACTGAATGTAAACTGTATGTATGGGTCAACTAATATATAACCCAGCGTAACCGGAGGGTTTCGTTTGTGTCTTCTGCTAAGGAAACATGTGCGTCATCTGCTAAGGGGCAACGAAAAGGACAAGAAATAATCTGCTACCGCCATTTCAACACTAAGGATCTTCATCTTTTCTTTTCTCTCCAACCTACACTTTCCTGTTGGCAGTGTACCGATTGATTGATAGATGTTACGTCCGCCTCAATCCCGAATAGTTCGGTTGTCCAGCAGACCGCGCTAGGCACACATCTTTATAGTGCATTAGTGAACAAAGCCGATCTCAAGCATCAGAACTGTCTATACACTGGCCTGAGCAAGTCTACATGCTTTAAATATGCATAAAAGCCTACTGGATTAAATACCTCCTACACACGTGACAACTACACAAATACGTGAAGCTATTTCTTACATTTAGTCTAATAATTCACCTTACTAAAACACGACACTTGTAAACCATACTACATCATTGGATGTTTCCGTTTATATGTAGCAATGTCAAGCTCTTCGAACCTCGCTCCATTTCCTGTGATAGAAATCAAACTCACGTTATGAATGAATGATACGTTCAACTGTAGCAGGTCCTTAAAACTCGATGTGTGTCAGAAGTGCGCTTGTATCACTCGGCAAATATTTCCCGAATGTCGGACAGCAGGTCGTTTCCGGCTATTTTTAACAAGGCTTTCCTCTATACTCGTTTATTTGACGTCGAGTAAGCGCACGCGGATATGGAAAACCTTTCAATGGGATACAAGACTTTTTTTTATTAAGGAAAAACGTTTTTCACGTCAACTGTATAAAAAAAAACTACATAAAACGACCCTAGTAGTTACAGTGTAATTGATGGAGTAATGTCAGAGTTAACTGCCGTGTTCATTAATTACAGCGTTACGTACAGAGAAACTTAAACTGGTTTACGTCAGTGCTTGTCACGTGAAGTTCATGTAGGCATGCCGCTGGCTCCTCTCGATATGTTCAGGTAAGTCCCGTTTTACTTCTGTTTTTCTCCATTTTTGATTTTTAAAATATTAAAGTTTTTATTTAAGTCGACGACCAGCTGTGTTAATAACAACACCAGGCATGTTAAGGTAGGTACAACGTAGGTAACTGCTATAAGTTTAACAGGTTTACAACTAATATTACCAGCTGTGTTTCAATGTTTCGAAGGTTCGGGAACTTCCGGAAAGACTATCTCAGACGACGAGATACATTCCCTAAGCAATATCTTTATATATAATCTGACCAGCCCAGCTTGCGTTTTCACATTACCGGGTTAGATAAAATAAACTGAATTTTCGTATGAGAATTCGATTTCTTGTTTGATCAGGCCAGAACAGATTTATGATAAGGCTGAAATGATCTAAGAAATCGATATCGAGTCGGTTCGTCCATTATAAGGATAGGAATTACTACAATGTATGCGTTGACTACTAAGTGATAGTTTCTTTCATGAGCTGTAACATGTTTGCTGTGGAAATCAAACAATCGTGATTAAGACATTTCATTGTCTGCTACAGTTACATACAAGTTCACTCGGAGTAAGGTCGTTGATAATGGACACACTCTGCTTGGTTTGACGGGAGACATGGCGATGATATGTGATGCAGGAAATGCCTACTACACTTATCTATGGGGAATCTTGACTTGTTCCCTCTGTTATGTTGCCTTCTAAGCTTCTTTCCATATCGATTGTTTTATTGTGTTTATTATTGAGCCTTGTTTTGTCGTTGTCGCTTCCCTAACTCTCACTTTGTTATTACTTGGATTTGACCTAGATTTACACTGTGTCTGTCGCCGATGAAGCAGAAGGAGCGAACCCTTCGAGAACACCGGTTGTAATATTCCCCTCGATTTTCAATGGTCTTCATTTAGATAGTTCCTTTGTTCATACGTTACCCTAGATTTACCGATTTCAATTTCAATTTTTGTTGAAACTTTTTTGTACTTTCATTGTTGACAGTTTGGAGTATTTGTTATATATCTTGTTATATTATTTTGGCGATTTATTTACCTTTCCGTTTCCAAAACCTGTCTTTACAATGCCCTGCTATTGGCCTTTTTCGAGAGCGCTTGCTCAAACGAGGAAGGGTGTGGGTTTGCCCCTAAATGGCAACAAGCCAAAACCCTGAAGGTACTAAACGCTTCCTGATTTACATTCACGTTTTAATGAGTGGCAGTAAGGACTGGTTAGCCCTCAGTCAGATTAATGTGACTGTGTTAGATGTCTTCTCTTACCGTGCCCAGATGCGGCTTTCTCGGGGTGGTGGCAATTTCAAGTAGCCCAAAGAAGCTCAGACATCGTAGACGCAAACTTATGGTAGCTTACCTGCTACAAGAAAGTAAAATATCCACAATCCAAAATTATGTAACCATATTGTTCAATTGGAGTTCTATAATTATGATTATAGATATTACAAGACTAATAATGGCCTAAATATAAAGTATCAATTGTAGAACATTAAGTTCACTGACAGCTTCCGGAATCATAATCCGATATCACGTTCTTCATCTATCAATCTACACATCAATATCTGGTACATAAATGTTTTATTACTAATACTTTTTCGAGATTAAGAATAATAATGGAAAGAGCACAGCACCGATTTTAGGAATATGACGTCATTCCATACTTTGGTGGACTCTGCTGGTGGACTACTGGTCCCGAGGTTGGCGGTAGCCTTGTAGTTTGAATTTCTTCTGACAGGGTTAATTTGGAATTCTTGTTTAAGAACAAAATTTCTAATGTCCCAAATTTGCATACTTGTATCATTTTGAAGTGTTATAAAGGTATACATATCTTTAGTATGTCTCGGAGCACTTAAGACATTGAAATTCATTCTTCTGTCCTGTAGTGTCAACGATGAGGTTTAATTAGATATTCTGGTACGGTTAACATGAAATACTAGTCGTAGTGTCAAGTATCTACATCAGCCAAATAATGTTAATAGAAACGTTATAAAGGTGTTATAGACACCTGTTCCCCATCTCCGTATTTCTACAGGTGTTTCCAAACAATACGGACACGTTTTTTATTATTCTTTTTACCGCTATTATCACAGAGGAGACCTCATAAAACAAACTAACCATATGGTGGAGTGACTGTTGCTTTGTTTGACTGCCTGCATCGAAACAATAACATAATTTTAAATAAGGGATTCCTTACTTTGTATCCCTAGTAACCATTTTCCAACATATTTAAAAGAAGTAGCTAACGAGATTTTATGTACAGGTTTAAACGTTCCAATCTAAAGCCACTTTTTCAATTAATCAAATTATCGATATTTTTTAATTAGATGAACATAAGATAAGAGAACAATACCACGTACCAGACTGAAATTTTGAAGAAAATGAAGAAATATGTACAACATCAAGCAGTACATGTCAGGGTGACGTTTTGGTATTTCTAGTTCGTGGAATATCGTTAAATATGAGCCCTGTAGGATTGCAAGTAATGCCAACTTCCTGGTTTAGAAAATAAATTTAGATTGTCTAACAAGATTCTGTAAAATCCCTACTTTTCTCCTTGTAAGCTGCGACAGCGTACCATACTGAGGCCATCTTATTTATCACGGATAATACTGTAACAGGAAATGGGAAGGTTTCTATGAGAGATAATTAAGGAGGACAATAAAAAGGCTGCAAAAAGGCAAGAAATAAATAATTATATCAAATGAAAATGAAATACTATGGGAAGGTCTATAATAAAGATAATTCGGGGAGGGGGGGGGGGAGTAAAAGACAGCAAAAAAAGCAATGAATAAATAATTATATTACAATTGAAAACTAGTAAAATATAAAAAAAAACATATTTAAGTTAATGAGTTCATGAATTCCTTATGAATTTTTTGCTACTATTGATAGACAAATACATATTCTTAATAGAGACATCTTATCGTTTATGATCGTGCTAAAATTGATTTATCATTAGTTAACTGTCATCTGTTCAGTTCTACAGATAGCTAGTGACCACAGACAGTCTACCGATCATTCCTGTTTGTAACGCATTGGCGGATCGTTTGTATTTAGGTATTTCGTCTTACGTTAAATGTAGAGAAGCGCAGCTTACCACCCAACCAAGTACAGTCAGTGTCGCGAAGGAAGTGTAACAGATATATTCAAGCTAGTTACAAAAAACTGTCACTGAATAATACTAAATAAATATTCCAAGAAAAAGAAACGACATGCAAAACTTACTACAGATATAGGACGACATTCAAAACTTACTACAGAGATAGGACGACATTCAAAAATTACTACAGAAATAGGACGACATTCAAAACTTACTACAGAAATAGGACGACATGCAAAACTTACTACAGAGATAGGACGACATTCAAAACTTACTACAGAGATAGGACGACATTCA